GTCATTAACTTTCAGCATGTTGTTAAACTCGAAAATTGCTCTTTGGTCTTCAAAAAATGGCTCCAACTTCATTTCATGTTACATTTTTATACAAATAAATTATTTCTAACAACTAATCTATTATTTAAAAAAATAAACCAAGAAAACTAACATATTTAATTTATTAAATACCATATGAATAAATAAATTATTACAACCATTTTTATTATAAAAACACCAAACACAACAACACAACAAACATAATGGTCCTTGGCTAGTTTATGCACATCATACATATCAACATACACATTAAACAACCTTTGTTTTTCTAAGACAACTTTAAATGACAGAAGATGCATGAAAACTTTTGTCGTATAAAATAACAATTATAAAGTTGTCATAGAAAATATGTATAAACTCGTTTTTATACAAAACAAAGTTATCCATATTCTCCAAAAACTAAGATTTTCAAAAATCAAAAAATCTAACCAAACTTGCAAGGTGGCTCTGATACCAATTGTTGGGTTTTTTTATTCAAAAACAAGTTTCAAAAATATGATTTTTAGCAACGGAAGACTTTAAAATTAGAATAAAAATAAAACTAGTTTATACCTACCATGGATCATCTTGCAAAGTTTGGAAAGAAAACAAGCACCAAATAAGAAGATGAAGAAATAACAACCTTTGTAGTTCTTTGGATCCTCTTGGGAGGCTTGGAAGTTGATAAAGAATGATGAACTTTAGAGACACCAACAAGTTGTCAACTTGATTTAAGATGCTAGTATTGTAAGAAAACTCTTAATCTCTTAAGCTTGAACTTCATAACCAATATGAACTTCAAGAGAGCATAAATGCAAGTAAGCTTCATTCATGAACAAAAGATGAGAGAAAATACATACCGCGAAGCATGTTTCAGATTTTGCATTATATAAGAGGAAGTGGTGAAAGCCTTCTTAAAGTAAAGACATTACCCACGAGTTCTTAATGCACCATACCTCTAACCCTATTGTTTATTATTATCTTAAGACATGCTTTTAAAGCATGTCTCCTACAATAAACTAATGCAAAAGAGATCTTGTCTCTTGTCACTCTATGCCTTAAGACATGCCATACTTTTGATTAAATAAATCAAATAATCATGCCTTCTTTCTTCTTCCTCAATTTCGAAATTAAGAAATCAAAAGAGGACAAAAACTTTATATTTTATAAACAAAGTTTATAAAATATAAACTTTAATTTTTTGGTAAAAGACAAAAGAATTATCTAGTCCAAAATGTTGTGCATGACTTATTAATTTATACCATATTAATTATGTAATGTTACTTGCTAATGAAAATTATTATTTCCTAGAAATAAATAATTTTCGATTTAATTATAAGAGTTTATTAAATATTTATTAAAATTAATTTCTAATAAATAATCAATTATATCAAGTTGTTACTGTGACCCTTTAGTATCATATGTTAATTAGCAATATCACTTTAATATGATTCTTGAGCATAATAGATCTTTCAGTGGGAGGCGGTGAAGTTACGACAATCAGTTTGGGAAAACGTTGGGATATGGAGGCGATGAAGTCGAAGAAATGTCGGGCGGTATTGGTGGTGTCGGACATAGCATTTGCTCGGATGAAGTTGTTGAAGTCATTAGGGCTTCTTGACAGGAATGGAGAAGCCGACGTCTTTTTTTATGAGAGAGAGAGAGAGAGAGAGAGAGAGAGAGAGATTACGTGGTATGAGTGGACCATTTTCTTTCCTTTTTTTATTTAAAAATTTTCTTTAAATAATAAAGAAATGAATAAAAGAAGTGTAAAGAAATATAAAAATAAAATTAAAAGAGTATAATAGTTTTTTTCAAGTCCTTCAAGGACTAAAACCATGAAAATTACTTGATTTTGGATATTTTGAATTTTTTTTTTTGGATTTTATCCATAATTTTTTGAATACCACATTTTTGTCTACTGAGGCCCCATTTGATAGTTGCTGACCGAGAAGGTGCTGACTGGAAAGGTCTGTCTGGGTAAGAAATCCTGAGCGAGTTAGAAATCTTGTTGTTTGATTGTACATCTGACTGAATGTGCTGAGTGATGAAAAATGACCATTTTACCATGTTGTTATATATAGTGATGGATTAAGTTGTTGAATAATTATAAAAACATACATATTGTCATACAAAATGTAAATTACACACAAATAAAAAATGTAAATTGCATCATGTAATTCATCATAAGTTTTATTAAGATCAAGAATAATTTTAACATTAAAATAATTTTCTACCAATGAATCAACATCATCTTAAATAATAATAGAAAAATTAAGGTCAACATAGCTTATACACAAAAAAAATTCCAGCTTTCATAGCTTATAAACAAAAAAAAGGGCAACAACTCAAAACAATAATAGCAATCTACTACGATAGAGTTATATATTTCAAACTTCATTTTTTACTCACAGTCGTTTCAACATCAAATTATTGTTCAAGGTGACTGGGAACGTGACAGCAGGAGGCTCACAGTCGTTTCACAAAATCTGAAGCATTAATATTTTCTATACCATGGAATTTATTCCCAAACTGCCCCTAGAATGATCCCTTTGAATGGTTGGAATTATTGTTCTTGTTCATTTCTTCTTTATCTAGATTTTCCAAAGATTCATAAATTCCAAATGAATACATGTAATTAATTTTATGCAATCTGATGTACAGGTAATTAATTTTTTATTTTTAATGCAATCTGATGTACAAGTAATTAATTTTTAATTTCAATTTCAAACAAGGAAAGATGCAATTTGATACAGGTAATTAATTTTTAATTTCAATTTCAGATTTATTAGAGCAAATAGGATTCTAATTTTATGGATTATACAGCAGATTGCATAACATCAAAGATAACCGATTCTGATTTCAAACATTATTAGCATAAAAGGAGAAGATTTACCTATTTTTGATGAATCGTGAATGACAGGGAAAGCGAGAGAAATTGATCGGAGATGGCGACTTCTCTTTAGTCGGCGAGATGGTGGCGAGACGGCAGCTAGATGGCGGCGACCGGCGAGATGAACGGTGACCTGTCGATGGAGGAGGCGGCGATTTTTGTGCGCTGCGCTTTTTTTTAGGTTATGATTGAAGAGGGTAACGAGGGAAGAAAGAAACAGAGGGGTAGGAGTGTCCTTATTCCCAGTCAGCATATGTTACAAAGCTGACCAGGTAAGACATTTGGGCCAGACGGCTGACCGAGAAAGCATATCATCAAACAGCCAATGTCTGACCGAGTCAGTCCATATGTCTGACTCAGATCAAGTCAGACGGTATCAAACACAGCCGGAGTGCCTTGGGAAAAATTGATTACATGTGTCTTGGTTTGATATAGATATAAATGAGACAAAAAAGAAAAGTCGATGTGATTTTTGGGTTAATAAAAGGGATAATGACTTAAAAGGGTAATGAATTTTTCGATTTGTACATATTTGGTCACTGAGTTTTTTTTTTCGTCCACATTTACCCCTTCAACTTGTTAAAATGTACACATTCAGTCCTTATGACTGGTTACTCCAGGTTAGCCGAGAAAAATGACTTAATAGGGTAATATATTTTTTATTTTGTACACATTTAGTCCTTAATATTTTTGTACATATTTAGTTCTTAACATTTTTTGTTTCAAAATAAATCATTTTTTGTACTCATTCAGTACTTATAAATGATTTTTTTTAGGTTTTTCTCACGACATCTTACGTGGGATAATCATTGATGAAGTGTTTGAGGTTGTTGATGCTTATGTCCAACGCGATCTCGACTGCCTGGTTGTGTAGGTCTTGTGGTTTGGCTTAGGTCTTGTATTTTGAACATCGTAACTTCTTCATACGATATCAAATTTTAACGATCTTTATATCTACGTGTTCATTTTTTGAGTCCACTACAACTTTCATTAAGATTACTCTCGTTAAAATGTAATATATTTTTACTTACGATTTTATAAAAAAAAAAGCATTCATACATGCATTCATAAAAAACGTATGGAAAGGGGCAGACGCAGGACTACATAGTAGGTGTTGCCGAGATGAAATATGTGTTGCCGATACATGAAAAATAGATATAAACGAAAAAAATCGAAAATTTTTCCACTGCGAACAGAAAAAACAGGTGTTGTCGGTGCAGCACTGAGACCATACTAAATCCGCCCCCGCGTATGGATATAAAAATTGTAGGTAAAAATATATTATTTTTTAATAGGTGTAATCTAAATGAAAGTTGTAGTAGAATAGAATACGAACGCGTGAATATAAAGATAGTTAAAATCTGAGATGATATGAAGAAGTTATGACCTTCAGAACACATGACCTAAGCAACCAAGTAGTCGAGATCGTGATGGATATAAGCATCAAAAACCCCATACACATCATTAATGAATATCCCACGTAAGATTTCGTGAGAAAAACCTAAAGAAATCATTCATAAGCACTGAATGATTACAAAAAAAATGAGTTATTTTGCAAAAAAAAATGGACTAAATGTGTACAAAAATATTAATGACTAAATGTGTACAAAGTGAGAAATATATTATCCTATTAAGTCATTTTTACCGGGTACCCTGAAGTAGCCGGTCATAAGGACCAAATGTATACAGTTTAACAAGTTGAATGGGTAAATGTGGACGAAAAAAAAACTCAGTGACCAAATATATACAAATCGAAAAATATATTACCCTTTTAAGTCATTATCCCTTAATAAAACTAAAGAGAAGGACTATGATCGAAAACACAATCTCTTTTACTTTTAATTCTTAAAAAAAAAAAGGTTTAAGTTTGTCTTATGTTTTATATTATTTTCTAGCGCTAAGTTATTCATTATAACTTTGATTTATAAGTTAAAAAAGATCCCTCAAATAAAACATACATTATTTAATAAATTTAATTGATTTATTGTAAAAAAAAGTGGCTTAATATTGCATTATAAAATGTCCTCACCCAGACCTCTTTTGTCACATCATTGTTCTTCGACCCAAATAGAATTTTCATCCTTCCACGATGGCAAAAGCTTTCTTCTGCCTCCTTCTCCCACTCCTCATCGCCTTCTCTCAAACATCTCCGACCACCGGAGCAGATTCCACCTTCGTGCAATCCGTAAAACGGAACCCAATGAAGCTCCGATCAGAAAAACTCAGCCACTTCCGATTCTACTGGCACGATATCATCAGCGGCCCCAACCCGACGGCCGTCAACATCGTGCAACCGCCTGGCAACAAAACAGCACCCACCGGATTCGGTATGATCAACATGATCGACGATCCATTGACGGAAAAACCAGAAGCAGATTCCAAGTTATTGGGGAGAGCACAAGGGTTGTACGGACTGGCGTCACAGGGGGAGCCTGGGTTGTTAATGGCGATGAACTTTGTGTTCTCGACAGGGAAGTATAACGGGAGTACGTTGACAATTTTGGGGCGGAATCCGGTGATGCATAAGGTGAGGGAGATGCCGGTGATTGGAGGAAGTGGGCTTTTCCGGTTTGCTAGAGGGTATGTTCAGGCGAGTACGCATACTTTTGATTTGAAAACAGGGGATGCAGTTGTTGAGTATAATGTTCATGTTATGCATTATTGATATTTAATCTTTGTTGTTTTTGTTTCTCCGGCGACAAGTTAAATCATTTTTGGTTTTAGTTTTGGTTTTGTTGTTGGTTTGATGATTAAGAAATTATCTTTTTTTTACACTCTTTAATCTTTATCATGGTGACAATATTAAGTTTGGGTTTTGTAAATAATTATTGTATAAAAATATTACAATTATTTTTTTAAGTAAGAAAATTTAAGAAATTAATGCATTTGAATATAACTTAAACGAGTTTTAAATGGTCTAATACTTGTTGATGTTTCGTATGTTTTGAACATGACACTAGAATGACATACGCAACATTTGCAACAACATGCGAATATACAATTAAATTTTGAATACAATTGAAAAAGTTTAATTTTATACATGTTGGTGATTTGTTATCATCAATGTTATTTAAGTGTAATGGAATTATTTTGTTGACAAAAAGTGATATTGATAAATATTAAACAAGTAAGGAAGGTGTGGAGTACACATTTGTTTAAGTTTGATCAAGTATCAAAGTACACTGTCATTTAAGGGCGAAGCCCCTGAACGAACGGGGGTCCGGGGGCAGCCCCCCTCGGAGCGGGGTCCAAGGGGCAGAGCCCCTGGTTGGTTTTTAGAGAATTGACCCATTTTGACTTTTATTCAAAATACCCGTTTTTATGACCGTTTTGGTGGTTTGTGACAGTTTTAAACTATCATATGACAGTTTTCAGACAGTGATCTAAAAGTTAGTTTTGGTCACTTTTCTGGTACTTACGAAATTTTACCCTCTCATTCTCTTGCTTTTTCTCTGGTTTTCTCTGAGTCTTATCCAATTGAGGATTTGGGAGTACCATCCAAATACTTCGATTTGAAAGTGATAATCACGATTCTCAGATTTCCAAGTGTCATTAAACCCTTATTTCTAACAATACATACAAGAGATACGCTTATATTATATTACTAAAGAATGAAAACATAACATTGCTAAGATAATTGTTAATTAAAAAATCAAAACGCACAAACTAAAAAATTTGCATCAATTTGGATCGACATACTTATGTTTTGTTGTGTGGAAACATTATTCACCCGAGATTATAATAAATGACCAACAACTTGAAGAAAGCCAATAATCACAATGTAAATATAATATAAATACCTAAATATATAACCTCCAATCACGGACACAAAAATGTTGCATTGTGACTCTTTAATGACAATAAATCTTTAGTGCAGGTTGAACGGTGCATCATAAACAAATAAAACATAACCACTCGATAGGTAAAATGTGATCTATATATCCTTAGTGGCCTCAATTGATAGGGATCATTGAATATCATAAATCTTTCTCATAAACATGAAATGTATATGATAATAAATCTTTAGTGCAAGTTGAACGGTGCATCATAAACAAATAAAACATAACTACTCGATAGGTAAAATGTGATTTATGTATCATTAGTGGTCTCAATTGGTAGGGATCATTGAATATCATAAATCTTTCTCATAAACATGAAATGTATATGATAACAAAATCCTTAGTGCAGGTTGAACGGTGCATCATAAACAAATAAAACATAACCACTCGATAGGTAAAATGTGATCTATGTATCCTTAATGGTCTCAATTGGTAGGGATCATTGAATATCATAAATGTTTCTCATAAACATGAAATGTATATGATAATAATTTCTTAGTGCAGGTTGAACGGTGCATCATAAACAAATAAAACATAACCACTCGATAGGTAAAATCAGATCTATGTATCCTTAGTGGTCTCAATTGGTAGGGATCATTGAATATCATAAATGTTTCTCATAAACATGAAATGTATATGATAATAAATCCTTAGTGCAGGTTGAACAGTGCATCATAAACAAATAAAACATAACCACTCGATAGGTAAAATCAGATCTATGTATCCTTAGTGGTCTCAATTGGTAGGGATCATTGAATATCATAAATGTTTCTCCTAAACATGAAATGTATATGATAATAAATCCTTAGTGTATGTTGAACGGTGTGACAACCCGAAACTTGTCACTTTTTCCGTTTCCGTTATACGATTTCCGTTAATAAAATTTGAATTTTATTAATTTTCCATCAAACTTCTTGATTTAGAAAATCATCTAGTTTTATATAATTAAATCTATATATGCGAGTCGGAACCAAATCACGCGAAAACCCGAATCTCTCGAAAAATCAAACAATTTCCGGCCTTAGTGAGTTTACGGTCGTACACTCGTTTACGGCCAGCGTCGGGTGGACCCCCCACCACCGACCACGAAAACCCCCTATAAATACGTGTTCCTACCCTTCATTTAGACTTTTCTGGCCGAAAACTCTCTCATTCTCTCTCTAAACTCTTGACCGTAAACACCTAAAACACCTTTATTCTTCCGAAAATAATCAAGAATCACCATTGGGAGTCATTTCGGAGCATTTAGAGCACATTTTTGTCGAAATCCAACGTCACTGTTCTTGAGTTTACGGCCGTAAACACTTCATATCTTCAAATCTTCAAAGGCCGTAAACACGTTTACGGCCGTACACTCATCGAATCTTCAAAGACCGTAAACCCCAGTTCACGGTCGTAAACTCGTCACGACCGTAACCCCTGTTCACGGCCGTAAACCCCATTCACGTCCGTACACACTTTTAAGTGGAGCATTTGGCTGAAAAACCCGTTTTCCTCGATTCAATCAAGTCCCGGTAACATTCCTTAACCGAACACAAGTGTTTTCCTAACACTTTACTTAACGAAATCGCTAATTTAGATGCATATATGTATTTATTGATATTAGGATTCCGTTAAGTTCCACGTACAACGACCCGAGGATCTTCGTTTCCAGTCGACGTTTTCACACATCAACAGTGAGTTCATACCCCTATGCTTTTATGATTTTTAATGTTTTCAGGGGGGAATACAAGCCAAACAGAAATGATTTTTAACAAATTTAAAACTTATGCAATTGATACAGTCAAACGATTTCCACGTTTTATAAAATATTTAGATATTTTATTCCTTTTGTACTATGTTGAGCATAAGGGACACTTTTATCTTGGAAACCTAATTGCATAATTTTCAGAACAATTTACAAATCAAGTACATAACATTTCAAGCAAACTATAATGGGTATAGTTTGGGGAAATCAATACACAACTTTTACCGATTCAGATTACATACATGGGTAAACATATAAACTATGACAGATTTAGTTTATGATATACATTATTACAAGAGTACAACGTTTAATAATTATTTAAGTATAATTATTACCTTATACAGTATACAACAAATTCAAATGCAAGAGAACAATACAGAACCACACGTAAACTAGTTAATACAGGATTGTGAGACAACACTTCGATTGTACCCTTCGGGGTACAGGTTAAATCCTATCACAGTATAACCAGAGTCTCCTGGAGGGAGAGCGTGAGATTTGTGAATAGATCTATTCGGGATTGACAATCCAACACCTGAACTGCTAGCTACAGTTAGGCAGGCATGTCTGGGGTGACAAATGTCATTTAACCGACACTTGAAGAACGTCGTAAAGGTCACTAGGTCATATCAAGCATGGTTATACGACTCACAATAGTATAAACTAACCATTTGTTTACGGGATTTCATTCTTCATTAGTTTTATTTTAAGTAATGAAACTACTATACATACTGGTGGTAGCTAGGGTTTTCATACAGAACATACTATACAAAGATTTTTGTACAAGAATACACTCATACTACGGTTGATAGTAATTAGAATACAAACTAACGTTTTTCTATACTACAACAGAATACAATATCAAATACATATGTTAGAAAATATTGGATTTTCTTCGAAAACATACAAACATTTACCAGATTCAAAGACAAGTTTTTCTCTACAAAAACATGCTTATGAACTCACCAGCTTTATGATGATACTCTTTTCAAAATTGTTTGTATTCTCAGGAAATCAGTAGACAGGTACCTCGGTAGACTTTTGAGAAGACGGAGCGTATAGAGTCCCGTCTTTCTTTTGCTACTTTTGATGTATAGAAAACAAGAATTAAACAGATGTAAACCTTTTTCATATATGTATTCAATGTAATGGTTGTGTTTACTATGATTGCTATGATACAATTGTTGTGATACTACACATGACGTCATCCACCCCCGAACGTTTCCGTCGTTCCGATTTGGGGGTGTGACAAACGGTGCATCATAAACAAATAAAACATAACCATTCGATAGGTAAAATGTGATCTATGTATCCTTAGTGGCCTCAATGGGTAGGGATCATTAAATATCATAAATGTTTAGTACAGGTTGAATGGTGCATCATAAACAAATAAAACATAATCAATTGATAGGTAAAATGTGATCTATGTATCCTTAGTGGCCTCAATTAGTAGGGATCATTGAATATCATAAATGTTTCTCATAAACATGAAATATATATATAAAAGTTTATCGATAGTATTGTACGTAAGAAAAAACATTTTAGCAAGTTTATTGTTGTTGTAGTAATCTAAGTGTGGTGATTTCGTTACATTCCATGGGGAAATAGTCTAGGGTTGCATATAACCACTATGGTATTTTATTGAATTACTTTTATTTCAAACATGTCTTTAGTATTTGCACTAGTTTACCAAGTTATATGTCAAATTAGAATTTACATTAAAAAAATGTCAAATTAGAATTTACATTTTCTAAAGTACAAAAAAAAAAACGAAAATAAGTTATATATTAGATTGTTTTTGTTTTTCGGTAAAATGTCTTTTGAACCTCTTATGTTTGCGGGTAAAAAGAGATTTTAGAAAATGACGATGTGTTTTTTAGAAGACAAAAATCATAAATAAATAAAAAATATCTTTCAACTTTTTTTTTTCCGAAAGACAATAATATACATTCTGATTTTAAAAGACGTTTTCTAAATTGATAACATTAACGTGATATTACCTTTTTCACAACTACCATTGTCGTTGCCGTTACTGCCTTCGCCACCGTAACCGCCGCCATCACCACCATCAACACCAAC